TGGGCTGGTTACTGCCCTTCCGCTGATTGTATTGCACAACTAACCTGCTGGGGTGTTGGACTGAGTACCTCAGTCAATCATCTTGAGGCAGCCGTTACGTATTAAAATGCAATAAAACAAATGAGGATTGTTCGTAATTATTTCATCGTTTGGGTGAAATTGGATTATTAACTCCCACATGTTAAGCACTGTTCTCCAGCTTGGCACATTCCAACAGGATGAGGGGTGGGGTGGGGGCTGTTTTGAGCGCTACTGGAAAATTAAGAGGAGATGGGAGGAAACGCAGATATGATTAAGGGCTTAAAAACCTTCCGTATATGTGGCGAAGGACTAATGCCTTTTGGTCAGCAATAAAATGGGTCACGATTTCAGAATGGTCACTGGGAGAAACCGAGGGCGGAGGGGTTAGGATTTTAATTGCAGTTACCTGTGGAGTCCTGTAAAGTAGAGCACTCACCTCGGAAGCGAGAGGACCCGAGTTCGATTTCCAGGCGGAGTGAAACCTTAGACAAGTTTCCTTACTCCACACTCCTCTGTTTACCTCGCAGTAAGCTGGAACCCAGTTGCTAGTCAATTGGCGGATCACTTTCCAGGGGTAATAATCCTTTCAAAAAAAATGAGTTGGTCACTCAATCCATGACTTGTTTATGGGACAGGATCATTATTATTATTTTACAGCAAATCCCGTGAGGTGTTTTGAGACGTTCTCCTGTCGCGAAAGGCGCTGATATCAAATACAAGGATTGATTTGATTATTTTGATTTATTTAATTGTTTATTGTTTCATGATGCTTCTTTATAACAGCGGGAAAGGGGTTACGAGAATGGGTAGTTGAGGCCAAGATGCTGGGACTCATTTAAGAACCAGCTTGATGCTAGAACTGGGATGGTGTCTGCCTGGCTCTGAATTTAAGTGCCAGCCTGGCTCAACCTCTCGCTTCTGAGTCAACAGGTTGTGGGTTCAAGTCCCCATGTCAAGACACGGAACCACATAGTCTAAGATGACATTTCAATGCAGTTCAGGGGGAGGGGTGCTGCATTGTTGGAGGTGCCATCCTTCGGATGAGACATTAGTCCACTTTACAGTAAAATCTCTAGGATTTCCATGTGTAGGTGGGATGCATGGAATTCTCAGCTTGTTTCGGATACTCTCAAGCTCGGTGATGGGTTTCCACGTGTGTCAGACACCCAGGTGACCAAGCAAAATACAGTAAAATCCTGTGACGTGCTTTGGAACGTCCTCTCAATGTGAAAGCCGCGAGGTTGAATGGATGGATAGAAGGATGAGATCAAACTGAAATAGGTGGTGGGGGGAATAGGGGTAGAGGGGGCTTAGACCACTCCTCCCCCAAGTATTTACAGTCATCTCTTTAACTCATAGACAGTCCTCCGAGCAAATCATCCCAACTCATCAGCAGCACCCGCCCACTTCCAGTCTGGGGGGCTGCTTGTTGGGAGGTTCTCACCTCTGATTGACGGATGGACTGTCAGTCAAGCCAATAACCCCGACATAAAAGGGATCGACCCTTTCACTGAGTTTTACTGAGCGCCCCCCGTCCCCCAAGGATATTTTCCCCCGCTGCTTATGCAAACGGGCCAAAGGGACTTCTTCACCTGACCAAACCTCTCTTGTGATCCAGTGATGTGCTTAGTCTCACATCACGCCCAGTGGACAAAGTGCTTCACTAGAATTACTGTGAAATGTAGTGACGGTGTATTTGTGGGCAAAGCCAGCTGCACAATTGTGCACAGCAACGTACCACGAACAGCCTTGAAATCAATTTTATTTGGGGGGATTGTTGGCCAGGACACCGGGAGGGAGAAACTGCCTTCTGTTTTCGAATAGTATCACAGGACACTATTCGAACATCTACCTGAACAAACAGACGGGACCTCGGTTTAACATCTCATCTGAAGGATGGCATCTCTGACAATACAGCACTCCCCACAGCACTGCACTGGAATGTCAGCCAACACTGGGAGCTCAGAGTTTCTGACGTGATCGGCTTGAACCCACAACTCTTGACTCAGCAGTGAGTGCAATCGACTGAGCCAGAGTCACATCATCTCACTTTCACACGGAAAGAAACTCGACCCCCTTCGCCTCGCACATGTTGATCCTAAGCGCTTGGATTCCTTGACAAGAGAGGATTTTAGCTGCACTCCTGAGACACAGGCATTAAGAAATAAAGCAGGGACGTCTTATTTTCACTATGATTTTGCTTTCTTTAGTTGAAAGATCCTGGATCGGAATTTCACTGAGCAGGTTCTGCTGCATTCAGGGCTGGGAAGAGAACTGGGCACTGGGGTGGGAGGAGGTGAGTTTATAGTTACAAGGATTTGGACAGAGAGGATTAAATTTCTGAGAAGTTTTGAAAGGATAAATAGTTCAGTGGTTAGATTATTACCCCCGAAAGCGATCCGCCAATCGACTAGCAAATAGGTTCCTACTTACTGCTGGGTAAATAGAGGCGTGTGGAGTACAGAAATTTGCCTAAGGTTCCTCCCTGCCCGGAAATCAAACTCAGGGCCTCTCGCTTGCGAGGCGAGTGCTCCAACCACTACTCTACAGCACTCCGCACAGCGCAGACCCGTTTGGGGTAAAGAGCAGGGGAATGGGGGTTCGAGTAGAGAGCTCGAGTGGGGGAGCGAGCACCAGCACAGACACGGACAGCCTGTTTCTGAGCTATGAATTGTAAGGTTCTATCATGTCTGGGGCTGCTTATCTCTTTGACATTGGGAAGAAACAATTCCCATCGCTTGCTTTTGGATTCTGCGCGGTATAAACCCATCAGCGCCGAACAGAGCTGGGTGAGAGCAGTCCATCCCAGGCCAACCTCAAACCTTTGTCAGCTGTGCTTCACCGAGCCTGACAGTCACACTCAGTTGGGTGGGAAGGGTTGGGGGGGTTATGAACTGCGATATTGGAAGTGCTGACCTTTGGATGAGACCCTTGAACCGAGGTCCCATCTCCTCACGGTACAGGAGGGTGTGACCAATCCTCACGCTTTGCTACTTTGCTCGGAGGAAGATCTGGGAATTTTCTCATGGTGTTTCGGCCGACGTTCCTCCCTCGCTTCATCTTTCTGTTGCGAGAGTGAAACTTCCTCTGCATTTTCAAACGCTTCAATCCCTCTTTCTGCGAAGCCGCACGACAACAACTTGCATTTATATAGTGCCCGTTGTCGCGCTGTATCAAATGCAAAGATTATTATTATTACTATTATTCCTACACCGGAATGCTCCCCCCTTCTCTCTCTCTCTCTCTCTCTCTCTCCATTGAAGTGCCTATCCATGCAGACTGCATATCTCTGTCTACAGTAATAACAATCTTTGCATTTGGTCTAGCCAATTTCATGTCAGGAACCTGTCTAAAAGTGCTTGATAGGATTTATTATTAATAATAATCTTTGCATTTGATATCGTGGCTTATCACATCGTGGAGACGTCTCAAAGTGCTTCACAGAGTATACTGTGAATACATTGCGTCAATATACCGAACATATCGACTGTATATCTTGTGGGTGAAATGCGACAGACAATCACGTGTAGCAGTGTCCCACAGAGAGTCGTGGATTTTGCTGTAAAGTGTAGTGACTGTGTGTTTGTAGGTGATCTCACTTCCTCAAACCCTCGTTCCCTCATTCCTTACTCCTCCCTCCTTCCCCCTCTCACTCCCTCAGAAACACACCTTAACGCCCTTAACACCTATGGTCTTCACTTCTCTTTCGGTCACCATCCCTTTCCTTCCTCCCCCCCCACCCCCCCCAACCCCACACGCACACTTCCCTCCCCCTCGGGCTGCTGACCAGCTCCTCTCAGCTTGAAAAGGGGGGTGAAGGAGTGGGTCCATATCCTGATCCCCTGTTGTTGTTGTTGATCGGCTCACTGTGTGTGGACGGTAAGTCTGTGGAAGCAGACAGTAAGTGGGTCCCTACAGTGAGATCACTGCTGTAGTCAATGGGTGGTCGCTCTCATCACCAATTGCATTTGGACATGGAAAATAACTCAGAGGTGACCGAAGCCAGCGTTTATTGCTCTCACTGTACTTGCTTATGAATCACAGCCTCTCTGCCAGCTAATCAGGACTGCCGCGTTCTCAGAAGACCGCTATTTTTTGAGGGGGGGTGTGTAGGGGGGTGGGAGGGCAAAGTGCCAACTGCGTTTTGTGCCAATTACTGCTCAGCTCTGCTCAGTCCAGTGTGCCAGCTCCATACCTTTCTTCTCCTTCGCTCCCTCCACTCCCTCCCTTCCTCCACTTCCTCCCTCCCTCCCTCGCTCCCTTCCTCCCTCCACTTCCTCCCTCACACTCTCCCTCCCTCCCTCCGCTCCCAAACCCCTCCTTTCACTCCCTCTCTCCCTTTCTCCCTCTATTCCCATGCCCGCTCCCTCCATTCCCTCCCTCCCTCCCTCCCTCCCTCCCAGTGTTCTGGCTAACAGAGGTGTCCCACAAACAGTCGTGGATTGAGTAACCAAATTTTTGGGGGGTCGGGAGGGATTATTACCCCCGGAAAGTAATCCGCCAATTGGCTAACAAATGGGCGCCTACTTACTGCTAAGAGAGCCGTGTGGAGTAAGGAAACTTGCCTAAGATTTTCTCCTGCCCGGGAATCAAACCTGGGTCCTCTCGCTTGGGAGGCAAGTGCTCTAACCACCAAGCTACAGGACTCCACGCCTTGATGGGCGGGTAGAGTTTGGGGCGAGCGAGGAGGCGGGTGGTGGGGTCTTTGGTAGGGGACAGACGTGTGTGCTTCCTGGGGGCATCGGAGACGTGAGTGGGGGTGGGGATGGGAGGGGGAGTGATGAAACTAACCCAGATGTGGAGCGCGGTAGCATCTGGGGCTTTGCGGAGCTGTCCGCCAGAGCAAAACATCTGCTTATGCTAAAAACCAAATAGTTAATAGGATGCGTAATGGATCCAGTGCCATTATGTCAGCGATCTATAATTTTGGTACTTTTTTTCCTTCTCTCTCTCTCTCTCTCTCTCTCGCTCTCTCTCAGGTTGTTGGGAAGACTACTGTGCTGCTACAATGGAAATGGGAGCTGGTCCAGGAAGGCTAAAGTGGATTAGACAGCCCACAGCGCACCAGTCAAGCTGTGATGTAATTCACATAGTATTCATTACCCTCCAATAGCCCCCACACACCCCCCCCCCCGTCTTGACGACCTTTCAAATAAAGCATGGATTAAAAAAAAGGCTGGTGTTTATTTTATGTTCCTTATTGAATCATCTTAACTTTCCCTTTTGTTTGTTTGTGTGTATGTGTGTGTGCGAGCGTGCGTCTCTCTCTCTCGCTTTCTTTCTCTCTCTCTCTTTCTCTCTCTCTCTCTCTCTCTCTCTTTCTTGACTGCCTGAAGTAGTCATAATAAACAATCCTTGCATTCGATACAGCGCCTTTCACGTCACAAGCACGTCTCAAAGAGTCTCGCAGCTTTTATGCTGCAAAGCGTAGGTGCTGTGTGTGTGTTTGAGTGTGTGTTTTGGAGGCGAATTGCTGAGACATCCGACAATGCAACGTTCCCCCCTGGACTCCATTGGCCTCATCTACAAACACTCCACTTTACAGTATGTTCTGTGAAGCGCTTTGAGACGTCCTCCCTCCCTCCATACTAAATGCCAGGATTATTATTACCACTGATAATAAGAGACCTGCCTATTATTTGAGCTCCATGACCCGACGTGGGGCTTGAACCCACAACCTCCTGACCCAGCAGCGAGCACGCTAGCAACTGACACCCAGCACCAGCTCTGTTGAGAGCGAGGAGATAGTTATCTTCTGTGAAAGGTGTTTATAGGAGGCTGTGAGTCACCAAGATTTGGAAGAACAAAAAAGAAAGGTTTATTTTAAGGAAACTGTTCCTTAACCATCTTCTCAAGGCTCTAACTGTCTAACACCTCCCTCCCTCCATCTCTCTCGCTCTCTCTCGCTTGCACCCAGCTCAATATGGTGTTGAGTCATTAACTGGTTACTGGTGCCTAATTAGGGCTGGAACTTCAAACAGCCCTTGTTAGCTCTCTCGCTTGAGGCAAGTTTTTTCAAATAAAGTAAAAAAAACTACAGGCTCCTTTACACGTATTCATAGAAAGCAAAGACAGGGTTTATTCACCCTGTCAGAGGGTCGAGCAAATGTAAGTTGCTCTTCGATATCCTCAGTATATCAGTCAGTATCCAGGAAACAACAACAGCAACAATTTGCATTTGTATAGCGCCCCTCACACAGGGGTACAGTCCCAGGAGGGAGGTGACCGTAGGCACGGTCGAAGAGGAAGATCTTCGGGGGCGACCCGAAAGACCACTGAGTGCCTGATTCCACAGTAATATAATACGATGCGATTTACATTTACGCAGCGCCTCTCACATCGGGAGGACGTCCCAAGGTGCTCAACAATCCTGACTTGGCACCCGAGCCGAAGGTGGGAACCGGGAGGGTGGGGCGGGGGGTGGATGTGAGGAAGTGAAACTGATGACTGAAAGTGCTGTTCAAAGAGGTAAGTCTTGAGGAGATGGACCTTGAATGAGGTGAGGGAGCAAGCGAGTTGGAGAGACTCCAGGATGGAGTTCCAGAGAGCGAGTAGCAGATAGGCTGAAATGTGTTGGACGTCCCAAAGCCCATTGAAACAAATAAGTTATTGCTGCAGCAGAGAAGGTTGAGGACTCGAGCCCTGCAACAAAATTACATTTGTACAGCGGCTTTCACGTCAGGAGGATGTCCCAAGGCGCTGGACAATCAGGGAGCACTTGGAGCTCACAGTCCAGGATAACGCCCACTGCTGGAGGGGAATCTGGCACTTCACTGAGGTTCTGTCTGCCTGTTCTTTCAAGATGAACCTTAAAGATCCTGCGATGCTATTGGGAAAGAGAAGGGAGTTTCTCCTCAGAGTCAATCCCCGAGATAAATCAGTTGCTTGGTTCATGGCCAGACATTGCTATTGGCTGCCGGATTTGCTTACAAAATACACAGTCACTACACTTTGTAGTAAAGCTCTGTGATGCGCTTTGAGACTATTTGACGTTGTGGACTGTGTACGATGCTAATCTTTGCATTTGATATGCTGCCTTATCACATCAACCGAGACTGTGAGCTCAAAGTCTCAACGTGGGGACTTGAACTACAAATCCTCTGGTGGTGCTACGATGCCCTGGGATCTCCCTACCTCTCTGACCCACTCACGCCCCACTCTTCTACCCGCCCGCTTTCCTCAGCAGCCGTGCTTTCAGCCACCAAGCCACAAACCTCTGGAACTCCTGCCCTCCACCTCGTCCCCTATTTGCCCATCTTCAGATCGCACCTGAAGACTTTCCGCTTCGAACGTGCCTACAGTCACCTCCCCCCCTCTCCCCGGCTCGGCATCAGGCTCTGCCCGAAACACTACCCCATGTGAACGGCGCTGTATAAATATAAGTTGTTGTTGTACCAATCTGTGCCAAACGGAATGAGCTATTATTATATAAGAAAAAACAAGTCATTGCACTTGTCGGTAATCAACAGTGAAGGACTTGGAGGCGTGTTGGGGCGATCGAATAACACTGCACAGGGTGAAGTTCTGAAACAAAATTACGGAGTAGCTTTCGTCCTAAATTGCTGCATCTATTCCACATTCCTCTCACAGTGAGCGCACGGGTTTGCTAATGGAAATGGCACGTTGGTGGCAGACAATCTGAACGCTGTTTTCATGAGCAAGGTCTCAACCTGTGCGCACTTTCCACCAGTCAGGTTGGGGATAAACCAGGTGCAGCTCGCAGGAGTCTTGTAGAGCGGTGGCTGGAGCACTCGTCTCGCAAGCGAGAGGCGTGGGTTTGATTCCCAGACAGTTCGAAAACCTTAGGCAAGTTTCCATACTCCACACGCCTCTGCTTACCAAGCAGTAAGTAGGAACCCGGCTGTTGGTCAATTGGCGGATGGCTTTTCCGGGAGTAATGATCCTTTTCCCCCCCCAAATAACTCGGTCACTGAACTCCCGGCTGTTTGTGGGATACTGCTGTACGTGTGAAGCGCCTCGAGACGCCTGAAGGATGTGATAAGCCGCTATATCAAACGCAAGGATTACTGTCATCTATTATTCTGAGAACCTCCTGCCTGGGATTTGCCCCCTCGCTGGCAGCCGACGTCCCCGCGTTTACCCGCCGCGGCCAAGGGAGGGCGCTGTGGCATTGCAGGAGCTTGCGATTCTCCACGTTCCATTCCAATGCCGTCACCAAACCAACGACGGTGATTGATTCATACTGTGTTCCCCGCATCACGTCGTCGAAAAGCCTCAAAGTGCTTCACGGGCGTTTTACCGCGGCTGCGTATTAGGCAGGCAAACACGGCCCGTCTGTTTTGCACACAGCAACGGCCCGCGAACAGCCCGAGCCTCAACTGCGAGAGGACCCGGGTTCTATTCCCGGGCGGGACCCCCCGCAACCTTAGCCAAGTTTCCTTACTCCACATGACTCTGCGTACCCGGCAGTAAACTCAGAACAGGGTTGTTAGTCGACGGGCGGATCGCTTTCCGGGGGAAATAAGCCTTTTTATGAAAAAAAATTATTTATGATTTGGTCACTCAAGCCTCCAACGGTTTGTGGGACGCTGCTGCGCGCGATTGGCTGCCGCCGAATATAATATAAAATATCATTATTACAAGATAGAAAGTCAATTCACTTTACAGTGTATCCTGTGAAGAGCTTTGAGATGTCTCAGCGCTATGGTAAGGCGCTACATCAGGTGCAAAGACTATTATTATTATTTTATAACTGACGGAAAATATAGGTATGTCCAGGGCCATATACCTTTAATATCCAACTGAACAGGTCTCATCCGAAGGGCGGTTCCTGTACCAATGCAACGCTCTCCAGCACTGCCCCCCCTTAATTTACCCCATTCTCCCCTCACTCCAAAGATGACAGAATAACAATGAGTGACGTAAGGTTACACAGGGAGTCCTCCCGTCGTGAAAGGAACAACGCGAATATAATTTGCTGCTGTTGAGTTACACAGAGGATCAGAGTTACAAAGAGTGACATTAAATTATTTTTTGGTGGGGGGTGGGGGGGGGGGGTGGGTGGCGCTCGATTTTATCTGGGAGATTGTCGGCCAGGACACTGGGAGAGAGAGCCCCTTCTCTTTTAAAGTAGACCTGCTGGATCTTTAATGTCCAACTGCACAGGGCTCAGATGGGACCTCGACGTGAAAGGCATGTTGTATCAATTGTAAGGATTATTATCTGGAACAGATGCAGTTTTTGCTATGGCACGGTATCGAATGCAAAGATTATTATTATTATCATTATTACTATTATCTTTATTATTATATTAAGGCTGCGTGGACATTGCACCCTAAGGAAAACTCACTGTTCTCTCATGCATCTCCGGCTCGTACAATACAATTGACGTTTATACAGCGCCTCTCACATCGGGAGGATATCTCAAAGCTTCAGAGCACCCAACGCATACAGTTTCGCCCACAAAATATACAGTCAATTCACTTTGCACTATATTCTGTGAAGCGCTTTGAGACGTCTCAATGACGTGATAAGGCGCTATATCAAATGCAAGGATTATTATCTATTATTATAAGCTTTGCAATGGGCTGGGGGTGGGAGCCGAGAGGTGGGGGGGGGGGGGGGGAAAGATAAGCGAAACCACAGTCACAGAAGTACGTTTTGAGACATGACTTGCACGAGGAGAGGGAGGGAGGGAGGGGTTGCAAGAGTTGGAGGGCCTCCAGGATGGAGTGGGGAACTGATTCCTGGAATGTACAGGGGAGTCTGTATTTACGAGTCCGCAGAATGGTCCTTAAATTCAGCAAAATCAATCACAGCTCCAGGAATCGTATAAATTTTACTGCACGGAAGGAAACAATTCAGGACATTTGTACCTATGCTGGTGCTCGCTCCCCCACTGGAGCTCTCTACTCCAACCCCATTTCCCTGCTCTCTCCCCATGGTGCCTGCGCTGGTGCTCGCTCCCCCACTGGAGCTCTCTACTCTAACCCCATTACCCTGCTCTCTCCCCATGGTGTCTGCACTGGTGCTCGCTCCCCCACTGGAGCTCTCTACTCCAACCCCATTTCCCTGCTCTCTCCCCATGGTGTCTGCGCTGGTGCTCGCTCCCCCACTGGAGCTCTCTGCTCTAACCCCATTCCCCTGCTCTCTCCCCATGGTGTCTGCGCTGGTGCTCGCTCCCCCACTGGAGCT